TGATGGATACCATGCATGTTTAGTCTGAGTTCAACATTGATTGGGCTAGTTAGTAGTACTCTAGCATTCTGCTTCGCTACTCTGATCTACGTGAATGAGGTCAGTCCTGTCAGGTCAGTCTCTGTATCAAAGTCTTCCCTGCGCTATTCAGCACCTTTTGTATGTATGAGAATGCACATTGTCTGTCGAGATTCTACTCGCACTGTATTGTCCACATTGCAGTTCCTCGGTTATTACGTACATTGCATATCTGTGCATGTAACAGTTGGTATCGGAGCTTCGCACGTGAATCAGGACAACCTGATCTGACATGTGTGCAGGGACTAAAAAGCTAGTTAGTCTTTTCTGTTTGATTAGGACATACTAGTTAGACCCCAAAATCACGATCTTGACCTTACCACCGCATATCTTTTCTCGGAATTTCGCAACATCTGAAATTCCTATTTTCGTTTTTCTTTCTGAAAATCCGAAATTTCGCTATTGAAAATCCGGAATATTTTTCTTTTCGATTTCCTGTTGCATTTCTTGTTACTTAGAAATTCGGAATAATTTCTTCTCTGAAATTCGTTTTTCTGAAAACGGTACGGGAAATACCTCCTGCGTTATTATTTTTCAAACTGCAAATCGGAATATGTGTCATTCCTGTTCGGAAATGTTTTTTTTGCAGTTGTAGGATTTTGTCATTCAGTTTGATAAATCATTTGCAGTCTAAAGTCGAATTTTTTTTCGCTTTCAGTGATCATTTCGTACTTTAAGGGAGATTGGGAGACCTACCGAACTTGCAAAAATCTGGATTTTTTTTATTTTTTTTTTTCTTGATTTTTTTTTTGCAAAGTTTAAACTTTCCTGCTTTGATTAGTGGCTCCTTATCTAAGTGTGAGTTGAGCGATTATCCCACCCACCCCTTCCCACCTATGTTGTTGCCATCTGTCGCCTTTCCGTTTCTGTTTGTATCCGGGTACCCCCTGCGGCGGCATTGGTGAGTTGCCACGTCAGCAGGCCACGTCAGCAGACTACGTCAGTACATCAGCAGGCCACGTCAGCAGGACACGTCAGTTGTGCCACGTCAACAGCAAGGGATACCACATCAACAGGCCCCTGCTCCGGTCTATGCTGTTGCGATCTCAAACAACAGTCATGGACCAGAGGCCCGGGAAAGCAGACGAGGCCTATCAGGCCCGCATGCTGGCCTGGAGTACCGAGACTAAGAAACGGGCAGATGATGCTGCAGCAGCAGCGAAGAAGAAGGCAGAAGAAGGCAGAAGATGCCGAACAGGCACGTCTGCTGGCACTAGAACAACAGCGCCAGCATGACGAGGCCGCAGCAAGGGCTGCCGATGAAGAGAGAACACACCGTCGTGAGAAGATATTTACCGGGGAGCGGGCATTACTTACCATGGCGGCAGGATGGCGAACCGAGGCCGAGAATAACCAGTTGGAGGATAGCGCAAACAARATAGCGCTCCTCCTCTCGCATCTCACGGATCTCCTGGCAACCTGCATTACACAGCAGGCAGAGATCCTTGGTCTCGACAGATCGCTAGCTCACCTCCAAGACCGTTTTCAACGGTTGGAGCAGCGACCAGTCGCCGCCGCCGACGCAGGCTCTTCCAATATTGCCGATCGCCTCAATGCATTGGAAATGCACGTCGGTTCACTCCAGGATTGCGCACCGTTACAGCTCATTGCGACGCAACAGTTGTAGCAGCGGGTCTGTACCACCGCCACTACCTTGAGTACGGAGCCGCGGGAGACAACTCCAAAGTTTGACGGGCAGGAGATCTTCTGCGACTCCATGAAGACAGATCCGATTCCATGGTTTCGCAAGTTGAGCTCACGCTGGAGCTGTCCAACGTTAAGGAACACAAGCATCACGCCTACTTGTACTCTCGCTCAGGAGGGGCGTGCCAGGCTTGGTTGGACAACCTCCTGTCCAAGTACGAAGTAGTAGCGGCCGACTTGCACACCAAGATCAGTTGGGATGATCTGAAGGCGGCGTGGCACAAACGGTTCCAGGTGGAGCCGCCAGAGATCAAAGTCATGGACAAACTCATGGTCTTCCAGCAAGGCACGCTGCCGAGTACGGACTGGATCGCCGCGTACCAACGCTTGACGTCAGTCCCAGACATCCAGGTGGGCTTCAAGGCCATCCGCCATTACTTCATCTCAAGATCATGTCCAACATTAAGCAATGCCCTGACTCATGTCGAGGACACCTTGACGACGACGGCGGAGTTGTTTGACAAGGCTGCGCAGATCATTATCACGAACAAGGAGGCCAAGAACCTCCGTTCATCTGCGTCATGCCCGAGCAGGGACCAGCATCGGCCAAGAGTGGTCGTGGTCGCAGCGGCAGCGCCGTTAGACCAAACCAGTGAGGCTGTGTCTGCCAGTGAAGGGGACATATTCGCAGCCGCCCGGGAAGGTGGCCGCCCCGGCAGAGGCCGAGGACGCGGCAAGATGAAGACACACCGTTTCTAGCCCCGGGCCCGGTGCAGCAGCTCAGACAGGCCCATGGACCCCGTATGGCATCTCCGAGTCCGCATACAAGGCGTGCGAGAGATTCCACTATTGCCTTTGGTGCAACAACGATCTTCATCAGACACAGGGTTGCCCATTGAAAGGCAAGGGCAGACAGGGAAACTGAGCATCTCCGAGAGTGACGCGACGACACTCTCGACGCCTTCGAAACTGGTTTCTTCGCGAGTAACCAGCCTTCATTCCGAGGCGCACGCGAAAGTCGACAGTCCTCCGCTTCTACTTTCTTTTGAGGACTATGCTTCCCAGCTCGTTCCAACGCTGGGTACTCAAGCTCAAGGACAAGGAGTGTGTGCGGTTTCTTCTCCGTCCGGCAACAGCGACTTATCGTCTTCAAGTGGTTCGTCACGGGATTCGGCGCGCGAGTTCAATATAGAGGCATTGGACCCGCTCACGTCTGAGCGACTTTGCATGGCTGCCTCTCCCGACCACAGGCTGTTTGCTGGGACCGAATGCGCAGCACTTAGCGCTCATCTCCACACTTACCTTTCCTTCTATGCACCACCAACTTCGCCGACGGATGACGAAGTTGCGGTGGGGGACATCCTGGCATATACTACCAACATGGCCCGCGAGTTTCGCACGCAGCGGTACGATAACAACAATGCACCGCTCATGTATGTCCCCATCCAGGTTGGGCAACCGTCCTGCAGCGCTTTGCTGGATAGCTACTCGTCTCGCAATTTCATGAGCCAATCCTTTATGCAAAGGGCTGGCCTTGGCACACAAGTTCGGAGGAAGGCAAACCCGACGGCGATCAAGTTGGCGGATAGAAAGACGCAACAACTTCTCGACCGTTACATCGAGGCCGTACCGATCTACTTCGCACCTCATGCATGCGAACCAGTGCCATTCCATATTCTCGACACAAACTTCGACATCATTTTGGGAATGCCTTGGCTTGCAAGTGCGGATCACACGGTCAACTTCCATCGGAGGACCCTTAGCGTTCGCGACGCCTTCGGCGCGGAAGTGGCGTGTACTATTCCTCTACCGCACACTTCGATCCGGTGCCAAGTAGTGACGGCCAAATCATTTCGAGCGACTTGCGCTTACGAGCAGCCTGAGGAGATCGGCCTATGCTTCCTACGGACCGTCGCCGTAGCCGACTCTTCACCCACGAACTTGTCTTCGGACCCCCGTGTGGTACGGTTGCTGGACGAGTTCGCCGACATCTTCGAGTCACCTACCGGTGTGGTGCCGGGTCGGCCGATCTCTCATGAGATCATTCTTGAGGTCGGTGTCGTGCCGCCGAAAGGTTGCATCTATCGGATGAGCGAGGAGGAACTTGAGGTCCTCCGCGCACAACTCGATGATTTGTTGGCCAAGGGCTGGATCCGCCCGAGTAGCTCCCCATATGGAGCACCACTTCTCTTCGTCAGGAAGAAGAACAAGGATCTACGATTGTGTATCGACTACCGCAAGCTCAACGCGCAAACCGTCAAGAATGCGGGGCCTCTTCCTCGCATCGACGATCTTCTTAAGCGACTGGGCGGCACGAAGTATTTTTCCAAGTTGGATTTGAAATCAGGATATCATCAAATCTCGATCCAACCGAACGATCGCTACAAGATCGCGTTCAAGACGCAGTACGGGCATTTTGAGTGGGTGGTCATGCCTTTTGGCCTCACCAACGCCCCGGCGACGTTCTAGACGGCGATGACCAACGAGTTTCGTGCAATGTTGGACCGGTTCGTGCTGGTCTACTTATAGACGATATTCTCGTCTATAGCCGGACATTGGAGGATCATCTTGGACATCTTCGACGAGTGTTGGAGACGCTCTGCCATGCGAAGTACAAGGCCAACCGCGACAAGTGCGAATTTGTCCGGCAAGAGTTGGAATACTTGGGCCATTTTGTTACACCGGAGGGCATCAGTCCGCTATTGGACAAGATTCAGGCCATCCAAGATTGGTCGAAGCCTCGGAACGTCACGGATGTCCGCTCGTTCCTTGGTCTTACCGGCTACTATCAGCGCTTTATCAAAGGTTACTCCAAGATCGCGGCCCACTTGAACAAGCTTCAGTGTGAGGATTGACCGTTTGACTTCGGAGAGGAGGCGGGAGGATCATTCTTCGCTCTCAAAGCCGTGCTATTGTCTGCGGAGGTCTTGCGGATATACGACCCACTCGCGCCAACACGTGTCACTACGGATGCGTCAGGCTATGGCATTGGTGCAGTCCTCGAGCAACATGATGGTGTGGACTGGCACCCGGTCGARTACTTCAGCAAGAAAGTGCCTCTTGTGCATTCCATTGACGATGCACGCAAGAAAGAGCTCCTCGCCTTCGTCCACGCGCTCAAGCGGTGGCGTCATTTCCTCCTTGGTCGAAGCCAGTTTCGATGGATAACGGATAACAATCCGTTGGTCTTCTACAAGACCCAGGACACCGTCAACAGCACCATCGCTCGATGGATGGCTTTCATCAACCAGTTCGACTTCTTTCCTGATCACATTCCCGGGAAGTCGAACCGTTTTGCGGATGCTCTTTCACGGCGTCCGGATCATTGTGCCGCAGTCTACTCGACCTTCGAGATTGACGACGACCTGCGGAACAGCTTCATCTGCGGCTACCAAGCCGACCCCGAGTTTCGCGACAAGTACGCGAATTGCTCCTCTCCTAATCCGGCTCCTTCTCACTACCGGATCCAAGAGGGGTACTTGCTTGTCCACACRYGGGGGAAGGACCTTCTTTGCGTACCGAGTGATCCTCACTTGCGTACACGGCTTCTTGGCGAGTTCCACGACGCTCCCGCCACTGGACATTTTGGAGTCAATCGTACGATTGGCCGACTTCGCCAGCGATTTTGGTGGCCTGACCTTCTCGGCGACGTCACGCGCTATTGCGAGTCATGCGAGGTTTGCCGACGCTGCAAATCCCGCAACCATCGTCCGTACGGCGAGTTACGACCATTGCCAGTCCCGTTGCGGCGAAGGGCAGCGATTGCCATGGACATTACCGGCCCGTTCCCCAAGCACAAGACCGGAGTGGATGGGATTCTCACGGTGGTCGATCGACTCACCAAGTTCGCCATGTTTTTGCCTTGTCGCTATCATGCCAAGGCACCAGAGCTGGTCGAGGTTCTTTACGCCGGTTGGATTCGCACCAAGGGTTATCCCAAGGAGATCGTCTGCGACCGCGACACTCGGTTCATGTCCGATTTTTGGTTGGCACTCATCAAGCGATGGGGCTCATCTCTCAAGCCCAGTTTAGCTCGCCACTCTCAGACCAATGGCCAGACGGAGAGGGCGCATCAGACTTCACAGGTTCTCCTTCGCACTCTCATCCGCCCCGACCAGAAAGACTGGGTTGAGCGACTGCCGGACGTCGAGTTGGCCTACAACTCTTCCATCCACCCGGTTATTGGGATATCGCCCTTCGAGTTCGAGCATGGCTCGCCGATCACGTCACCGTTGGACACTATTACTCCACGCACGGACGAGAGCGACAACCATCTTCTTTTTTTGCGTCGAATGCAAGAGCTTCTCGTCAAGGCACGCGACCAGATGGCAAAGACGCAGCAGCGCATGAGCCAGCAGGGCAATCGCCAGCGTCTTCCTTGTCCATTCCGCGTCAGGGACCTCATCTGGGTTTCCGCAGCGGAATTCAGCCTTGAACAAGACGTCTCTCGCAAGCTCCTTCCGAAATGGATGGGGCCTTGGCCGATCATAGAGCCCGCTGGGAACGCACCCGAAGGACCCTCCTTCATGATTCAGGTGCCTAGCCACTTGCCTGTCTACCCAGTCTTTCATTGCTCCAAACTGGCTCTCTACACACCAGCGGATCATGATGACTTTCCCGGGAGACGTACGCAAGACCAACCTTCTATGGATGGTTTTCAAGAGATCGGCGACATCATCTCCCAGCGACGTTTTGGCAACAAGCCAACTGAGTATTTAGTGCATTTTGCATACTGCACACACCGAGTTGACCGTTGGTTAACCCGTGCGGAACTTCAAGCGACAGCTCCAGACGTTCTCGCACGCTACGAACGCAAGATGCAAGGCAAGCCAATTTCTTCAAGTCCCCGCCGCGCCCGCGTCCAGGTTCCACCTTCAGATCGATGGCTTCGCCCTCGCCCCGGCTTGACTTCATTAGGAGGGGGGGGGGTGTTACATGCAGCGCGTGCACACACGGGCCATTTTGCAGGCCCGACGACCATTTTGCAGGCCCGACGGCCATTTTGCAGGCCCGACGGTTTGCAGGCCAAAAGCCTGAATTTCAGGCTGAAAGCCTGAAATCCAAGCCTGAAATCCAGGGCTTATAGGCCCCATGTCGGTTCAGGCCGAAAGCCTGACTTTCAGGGCCTACAGCCCCTGCGACGGTTCAGACTAAAAATGGTAATAGCATTTTTAGCCTGAACCCAAGGGCCATTTCCGGTCGTTCATCAGAACGACCGACCCTGAAACTCAGGCACCGAACCACAGTTTCAGGAAGAGAATATTAAGTCTGTTTCCCACGCCAGCCTCAAGCAGGCTGCTGCACACCAGCCCCTGGCACACTTCGGCATTGGCAAGAGCTGCCTCCCCGGCCTGACTGGCCTCCAGTAGTCAGGAGGCAGGCCGAGGTAGTACATAGGACTTCCCAGGCACTTCTGAGGTAGGCAGTCGTTCAGTTGTAGTCTTCAGGATTCGGGAGCAGCACTCTGGAGGGAGCGCTGCAGTGTAGTAGTAGTAGCGTTAGCTTGTAGTCTTCAGCGCTGGGCGCAGTAGGTAGCTGTAGTCTCCAGCGCTGGGCACCATAGCTAGGTAGTACTAGAGAGAGAGACAGAGCTTGGGCGGAGGCCAGAGGTACCTACCTGCAGCACCGTTGCTCCAGCTTCGTCTTCGAGGTACCTGCAGCACAGCGCCAACATCACAGGTTAGTATCTCGTCCGTAACAGAGAGAGAGAGAGAGAGAGTTCTTCTTCTTCTTCTTCTCAGTCCACCATCTCTTCTCTCCCTCTCAACTTCTGACTTCATTGCATCTGCAGACTATGAGAGAAGAGATATAGAGCTTGGTGACATTTGATCCAGACTCGACTTTTGGGAGTTCAGACATGGCAACGAGCGACTATTTGGGATTGGTGACCAAGACTTGGTGTTAACGACATTCCCATCCTCCTCCCTCCTTTCGTCTGATCCTTATCTCTTCGTCTGTGTATGTCTGGACCTGGCGCTTTCTTCCTGTGTACAGCRCCAGGCTCCTTCACACTCGGTGATGGATACCATGCATGTTTAGTCTGAGTTCAACATTGATTGGGCTAGTTAGTAGTACTCTAGCATTCTGCTTCGCTACTCTGATCTACGTGAACGAGGTCAGTCCTGTCAGGTCAGTCTTTGTATCAAAGTCTTCCCTGCGCTATTCAGCACCTTTTGTATGTATGAGAATGCACATTGTCTGTCGAGATTCTACTCACACTGTATTGTCCATTCAGTCCTTTTCATCACTTTGCAGTTCCTCGGTTATTACATACATTGCATATCTGTGCATGTAACAGCAGTGAAGCGACAGCGCGGAACATAGGCTGGAGGGCATGGGGGAGGTGGGTGGGCAGGCAAACAACACTATGCAAGAAAAGAGCGGACAGGTCACAGGAAATCAAGAAGCAGCAAGGCAACAAGACAACAAGGCAGATAAAAGAACAATTAGGAAAAAAGAAAACACAAAACGAAAAAAAAAACACAAAACGAAAAAAAAAACAAAGTGATGATCCATTGTTTCATCGGAGTTGCACCGACTCATCAGGAGGCTGAAACCTCGACAATCTGCGGAATCTTCGTATTGGATGGTTTGGGTCATGAACCCTTTGACCCTTATTGAAGGAAAGCGCAAGGGAACACCAACAACACGGCCACACCACATCACGAACACATCAAATTACAGAGAACTACATGTGAAGCAAGCGGGACAGGCAGCAAGGCAGCGATGGAGCGCAGACGAGGCAGTCCACACATCCAACACGGAGCAAAGCGGCACATGACCTGCGGACATCACGATTAAACCCCGCAGACTGTTGGTTCCCACCACCCACTGAGCCAGGGAGACACTCCGACGAGCATCTGTCATCACCCACAGGCAACACGAACATCCCGAACCGAGCGGCCCCCCTAAGAATGCTGTGGGCACTCCCCAACACGGAGCAAAGCGGCACATGACCTCCTCACATCACGATTAAACCCCGCAGACCGTTGGTTCCCACCACCCACTGAGCCAGGGAGACACTCCGAGGAGCATCCTTCATCACCCACAGGCGACACAGACATCCCGAACCGAGCGGGCCCCCAAACAGCGCTGTAGGCACTCCAGACAAGGAACGACCGACTGTTTGGCACTCCTTAAAGGTGCTCAGTTGGACACACAAAATGTACTTACAAAAAATCAGAGGGCACACAAAATGTACTTAGAAAAAATCAGAGAGAATGCAAACAACAGGGGGAGGACAAACATACATAAAACTGATTGTGTGTGTGTGTGTGTGTGTGTGTGTGTGTGTGTGTGTGTGTGTGTGTGTTCGCTATACACAACTCCACAAAAAAATGCCACAACTGTGCCAGACTGTTTCTTCGGAGGAGGTTGTGTGTCTGTACTAGTTACTTCACTATGCTGCTCTGAAAAGACAACATACCCTCTTAAAATGCCTACGATATGTTGCACCCCCACATCATGTACAGACTTGACGTATACTGCTGACTTATATGCCTACGATATAGTCTTGCCACCTTGTGAGCTCAACTCCGCAGTTCGCTAATGTCCGATTAGCATTCGATTATGGATCCAAGCCATCACTAAATGCAACACAAATACATCGCATACTAGATATGAACTTTACAAAGTTACAAGCACTGCTCCTTTCTCTTTGTCGTCTTCTTCTTCTTTTTCTTTTCTTCCTTCTCATTCCTTTTTTTGAAAACGAAGGCCTTACACTCGGCCCACTTCGTTCTGTTCCTTGAATGCAAAGCATTGAAGTTCCTGCAGGCATCCCCGCAGTGCCACATCCCCAGCAATCTGTCTTCCTGCAGGCATCCCCTCAGTGGCACAACCCCACCAATCTGTCTTCCTGCAGGCATCCCCGGATTCCCCGCAGTGGCACAACCCCTGGGCCAGCAATCTGTCTTCCCGCAGGCATCCCCGCAGTGGCACAACCCCAGCAATATCTCTTCCTGCAGGCATCCCCACTGGACCCCACAGTGGCACAACCCCTGGCCCAGCAATCTGTCTTCCTGCAGGCATTCCCGCAGTGGCACAACCACTAGCGACTTAACGGGCACACTTTGGCGAGGTAGTGGTGGGTTTAGAAAGTAGACAGGTTGGGCAAGGAAAACGGGAAGGTTCTAAATTCTAACTCTTTTTAATTGCCAGTTAAATTAGTGGTACTAGGTGCATGGCATTGCATGGAAAAGGACTGAGAATCAGAGGAACTAAAGAAAGATAGTCTATCCTGACACACAGGCGTCCGAAAAGTGTGCCTGTGATCAAGGTCAATCCGTTCCCGTAATGAACGTTGGACTAGTTTTACTCTTTTGTAGACTCTCACATTAGTATGGACAGAATGTGGCCGTAATTGAAGTCAGGTGCATCCATAGTATTACTAGTATGGACGTAGGTCATCACCAATAATGTGCCCTTGATGCACACCATCATAATTTTTATAAAAGGAAATTCGACGGAAAGGATGGGAGGTCCTGGAACATGTTCGCTGGGAGGGGGTGCTCTTATCCACCTCTCATAGGGGGTGACTGGGTTGAAGAGGGGAGGGGGGGGGGGGGGGGAGAGGAAAAAGAAAAAGAAAAAAAGGTCCTGGCAAATTGTGGCAATATAGACCCAAAAAAACAGCAAGACGAGCCACCCAAGCCACCCAAGCCAACAGAAAAAGAGAGAAAAAAGAGAGGAAGTATTGCACTGCAAACAACTTTGCTGGCAGAAGGCCAGTAATAATGTATCAGCCTTCTTTTTTCTTTTTTTTTTTCCCTCCAAACAACTGCACCATGTGCTTCTCTTAAATTCTCTTGTTCACCTTTCACTACCTAATACCTACCTATGATAAATATTAAATAATATATCTCGTTCGTGCGCCCTATTTCAGTCATTCTGTTCAAATAAGCCGAAACATTAATTAAGGACATCCCCCAGCACACCCCATCCTCCCCTCTTCCCCCTCCTCCCCCTTCTCACCCCCTTCCCTCCCCTGGGAAAAAAAAAACAATTGAAGCATGATTCTCAGATGAGGAAAAAAGGACAGAACAAGAAAAAGGTACAAAACGGAGCCGGCTCCCCATATTAACCGCCATGTTGTTAAAAAAAAAAAAAAAAAAAAAAAAAAAAAGAAAGGTAGAAAACACCATCCGCCTAGTACTAGCTTCTTCCACCGTCTAGCTTTATGTTCGACAACAGATCCGCAGCGTCAGATTTTACACCGGCGTCCAAGTCCCACAGCTCCCGCTTGCTCAGATAATTCGTTCCTGGCCCTTGATCTTCGAATTCGATAATCGGCCGGGGCCCGGGGATAAAAGTGGGACCTTGGCCAGATTCTTCAATTGAATCCATTTTCTGGCCGTTGATCTTGATAAACGGGTCAGAAATGAAGAATCCGGTAAGTGGGACTTCGCCCCTGAGGGGCCCAACATAGTGGGACTTGGCCCCCAAGGGGCCCAACATCAGCAGCTACGGGTACGTTGGGTGGGGAGGGATAGATTCTGAATCGAGTTGACCAAGACAATTATTACAAAAAACAGCTGAGGCCCGAGGGGATACTCAATGGAGGACTTTGCTGCATGCATCTGATGTTTTTTTTGGCAACGCCTTGGACGCATCTGACCGCAATTGTGTGTACAGATAAGTTAACCTGGACGCATCTGACCTCAACTGTGTCTACAGATAAGTTAAAGAAGTCATACTGTGAGTATGCCCTCAGGCAGGTAACCGTAGCCTCGGTAGGACCGGCCACACAAGAAGGCACGTTTTTCATTCCCCTCCCAGTGCCGCCCCTTTCCTGCTTTTAGAAGTACAAGGCGACAGTTCCTCGGACTTCCTCGGAAGTTCCTCCCACTCTCCTTCAAGTTGCCCCAGCACTAGCACTTCCAATGCAGATCCAAACGTCATGAGACTCACGACTACTTCAATACTCAAAGAAAATCAGCCTTGATAATTCTCTGTTGATTCTGTGCTGATACTGTGTCCATTATTTCCACAGTAGTTTTGGATCCTTACATCTACTAGGCCTAAGACCTCCGCCGTGCATGCACTCGATGAGTCGATGCTGTTCCCCTCTAGATCCTGTCTCTTATACACATCTAGATGTGTATAAGAGACAGCTCTCTCTCTCTGTGTGTGTGTGTGTGTGTGCGTGTGTGTGCACGCGCAGGAGAGGCCGAGGCATTCATCCATTCGTATCGCATGGACAAAGCTCTATCTTCAGGCAGAGGAGTGGTATCCATTTGACTTTTACCCACGACGGTCAGGGGTGAACAGTCAACAGTCAACAGTCAACAGTCAACTTGTCCGACTTCAGGTAATCCCTCTCCTTGACTGGCGATGGGGAGGGAGGACTCAGGACTCCACTCTCTCCTCTTTCTTGTTCAACTAGGTAGGTACTAGGTACTAGGTAGTAATCCCACTGCTTTTCTTCCTTCCTCGCCTAATATGCCCATTCAAGTTATCCTCGCTCAATGTTCAACTCGATCCTCAACCCTCCGCACCTCCCACCCAACCCACCCGCTACTCCCCTCCACCCAACCCAACCCCCCAACCACACTGGCGTTGTTGTCTAGCCTATATATTTTACCAGCAAATAGCTTAGTTATTATGGGATTGCGCCTTCGCTGCCTCTCATCAGTAATCCTAGTAGGGCCTACGTAGTTGCGCTACTTGCCATCCCCCAACAGATAGAATGCATCTGGACACTCGCTGGTCCAATGCATCTGGACAAGCGCTTGTCCAGTTGCATTCAAAATGTTGGCGGATCTTGGCCAGTACTGCAACTAGGCCCTTCAGAAAATATCGTTCCCTTGCTTCCCTTCCCTTCCCTTCCCTTCCCTTCCCTTCCCTTCCCTTCCCTTCAGCTTCAATTCGCTTTGGATTTACGGTCATTTACCGACCCCTCTTCCACCAACGTAAACTGGGACTGACCCTGGTGGCTCGTCCTGTCGCGGTCCCGACCCGATTCGAGCGCCCAAAACAGTTCGTCTCAACCTTGTCAGGTGACTTTGGTGGCTCGTCCTGTGGTGGTCCCGATCCGACTGCCCCCCCCCTCGACACAGTACAACCCTCAAAATCCGACGAATCTGTTACGATATCTGACCTGTCAGGCCTTGGATTTTCTTGAGACCCTTGCTCTGGAAGACCTGGGTCGGCATTAGCTGCGTGCATGGGCTGGGACAGTCTTCGTCCATATTCTTCTGTTGCACGAGCAGATACAGGACTCGTACATCGTTCGGACATCCACGGCTCGTGCAGTGAACCTGGTCCGCCAGCAAACCATACCTGTCCCGACACTCCAAGATATTGTCCGGAACTCGTATGGCGACGGTATATATGACCAGGTTCAACCGGATGGTGCTGATGTCCAGCAGGATCATTCGAACGCTGGAGATTGTGCGGTGGAGCTGGAATCGGCCTTGTCGACGCACTCGTCTGGTGCTGGTGCATATGACCAGGTTCACCCGTATGGTGCTGGTGTATATGACCAGGTTCACCCGTATGGTGCTGGTGTATATGACAAGGATCATTCGAACGCTGGAGATAGTGCGGTGGAGCTGCAATCGGCCTTGTCGGCCCATGACGGCCTTGCGGAACCTGAGGCGGTTTGGCAATGGAGACAATGACGCTGGGATCGGGCATTTCAGCAATGGGCCCATTTGGTACATTTGAAACTCGTTGCCATGGCGGCCTCTGTGGCGGTCTAGCTACACGTGGAACTTCAACCATCACGCTCTCCTCAACAGGTATCACATCTGATGCACAACTGACAGGATGGTGTCGCGGGAACTGGGGAATGGGCCCAGAAGCACTTGGCCTCCTCACTGGTCCCTTGTCGGGGCAGACGCCAGGTAGGACAATACTCGCCGCCGGATAATACATGGCCCCGTTTCGATCCATGTCTTTCCAATACTGCCGATACTCCACAACTCTCTCTCTCTCTCTCTCTCTCTCTCTCTCTCTCTCTCTCTCTCTCTCTCTCTCTTGAAGACTGCCGATACTGCACAACTCTCTCTCTCTCTCTCTCTCTCTCTCTCTCTCTCTCTCTCTCTCTCTCTCTCTCTCTCTCNCTCTCTCTCTCTCTCTCTCTCTCTCTCTCTCTCTCTCTCTCTCTCTCTCTCTCTCTCTCTCTCTCTCTCTGTTAGTGTGTGTGTGTGTGTCGGAGTGCTGGAACTTAGCCGGGATTGTATCGTTAGTAAAGGCTTTAAAGAGCTGCGAAGACGGTGGTGACACGACCGGTGAATTGGGCAATGAAGCGATAAAATAGTGCGAATGCACGGGGGCTTCTTTTGAAAAGAGAGAAGAAAGCGGTGTAAGTGCAGAGCGTAGTATGGTCGTCAATTTGATGCGCCTTGCTCGGCATTATCCTCATCGACATGTATTTCGATCCATCTGAACGCCGCTTAGTCCCGACGTGCGATGCGAAGATCCCGGCCCGAGGAGTCTTCTAGACATAACAAACAAGACAAGAGACAACCACAAAACCAGACGGAAGCATGAGATTACACAACGGTACCGTAACGGTGTTCGTGCTTTAGCAGCAGTCGGGCCCAGTCTCAACAACGACTCAACGAGCTCTTCCTCGATGGACGATCTCTGTGCAATTCCTTGTGTACGACAATTATACAATAGATAGATCATCCGCCATTCAATTTCAAGAGTCGTAGCCGACGTAGCGCACGGAGAGAGAGAGAGAGAGAGAGAGAGAGAGAGAGAGAGAGAGAGAGAGAGAGAGAGAGAGAGAGAGAGAAAGTTGATCATTCAATGCAAACATATACATAGCCTCCAAGCAATAGGCTCTAAGCAAAGCCGGGTGAAGTGTCTTGACGCCATTTGATGATTTGAGAACAACACACACACACACACACACACACACACACACACACACACACACACGGAAAAAAAAAAAAAAAAAAAAGACCGACTAATCTGTTTCATCGGACTTTGACCACTTCGTGACAGAATCCCCCCCCCCCCCTTTTTTTGTCTTTCTTTGTTTTGAATTTGGTCCATTTCTCGATTTATGTGCCACCATCCTTGAGTCTGCAGCGGCCATGCGACTTTCGATTCAGAATCTTTGAAATCTGCATCGCTCAAATTCCAAGTTCAAACGCATAACCTTTTTTTTTCGAGGTGTACTTGCAGATTCTGAAATAGCGCCGCCGTTTTGGAAGTTTGACAACAAAAATGCTGTACGGGTCCGAAAGATATATTTCTGCTGTGAAACTACAATAGAACCGGGACCCCGCCTGCAAATATTTCTGCTGTGAGACTACGGTAGTGCGGGTCTAAAGCTGCAACGATTCCCCCCCTCCCCGCCCCAAAAAAAATAGAAAAGAAAAAAAAAAGCTGCAACGAAAGATATATTTTATTTTTGCACGACCCGCTATTTTCGAGACTTACCCTTTTCCCGACTTTCGCCGAGGTTTGACCGGGCGGAACTACAGTCGTGGTCCGAAGACAAGGCACCCTTTTAATGAATGTATACAAGCCACCTCTCCGGTCTTATACACTCATGATGACGGTTCGTTGTGCTCAGGGGCTAAGACGGTAGTGTATTGTGAGATAGATGGGGATATAAAAATATCCCCCCCTCGTTTTTTTGTTTTTTTTTTCCCCTTCCTAATGGGGCGACGACGTTAGCTTCTCATGTCATCTCATGATCGTCCATCTGTCCATGCCCACTGCCCAGGTCATTCAGATTAGTCTTCTTTTGCTCATCCGATCCCATCAGGATTCGAACTCAGGTCTATCCATCAACAGGTGATGGGTGTGTGCACTGTGTATCACTCAGCGACTAAAGGCAACCCCAAAGGCAACGACAAAGGCAAAGAAATTACAGACGACGAAATTCAATGTATCCTTCCATATTCTAGCAGAAGATGCATTAGCCATCTTCTTGCACACTTGGTGGGTACTGCAGAGAGGTCCCGAGCCACAACCAGTGCCACGTGTTCCCGGGGAGCCACCCACCGAGGCCACGTGGGACGATCGTGAGCGTCCGCTCTCCCAGCAATCAACGGTCTGAGGGTATACGCACACTACTGGCAGGACTTTTTTAGACTCCGTTTTGGACATATTTACGTTCAGATTATCAGATACGTCCGCACTCGGCCCTAATTGCAGTCAGATACATCTAGGACAGTTCGACAATGAGTGTGCCCTCAGTACTAATTTAAGTGGCATACTACGGTAGTCCTATTCATGCCCCAGACCTAACTCGGACCTAATCGGGACCACGTGTCAATCTCCGGGCCCGTGATCGTGAATCTGGGACAGTTCCCCCTGAATCAGAACTACCAGTGTATCTTCGAATCGCGCTCTCTTTTTTTTCTGGTTTTTTTTTTTTTTTTTTTTTTTTTTTTTTTTTTTT